TGGATGGATAGATGTTAGATAAATAGATATAATGATAAATACAGAGATGATATATATAGATGATAGATGATACAGAGATATGCTATATAATAGATAGATAAATAGATGAGAGAGATGATAGATAGATTTTATATAAAGATGAAAAATAAGTAGATAGACGATAGACAGACAGACAATACAGAGAGGGGACAGACAGACAGATGATAAATAGATAAAGAGAGATGATATACATAAATGATACAGACAGAGATATGCTCTATAATAGATAGATCGATGGATAGATGAGAGAGAGAGAAATTGACAGATAGATAGATTTTATATAAAGATGAAAAATAAGTAGATAGACGATAGACAGACAGACAATACAGAGAGGGGACAGACAGACAGATGATAAATAGATAAAGAGAGATGATATACATAAATGATACAGACAGAGATATGCTCTATAATAGATAGATCGATGGATAGATGAGAGAGAGAGAAATTGACAGATAGATAGATTTTACAAGCTTTACTCCCCCCCACACACACACACACAATTGGTTGTTAGTTGAATCGCTGCCAATAAACCCAGGAAAAAATAAAATAAAAACCAGATTAAGATACCCGTGAGGTCATGAAAAGCAGCTTGGTCTCCATATCGGGGGTCAGGCGACATGCCAGAAATTTCCGGGACGTCCTTGACTGCAGAAGCTGCAACATCCCTGTTGGGGGGGGCGGGGGGGGGGGATTAAAAAAAAAACACCACAAAGAGAGGGGGAAATTGAACAAGGCCCCACCAATCTTAAGACAACCACTAGGGTTCAAAAATTTACGGAAGAATACAGGCGTTCCTCGACTTACGACCGCAATGGGGCCCCCAAATGTCTGCCGTTAAGCGAGACCTTTGACCCAGAGGCATTTACAACCTTTCTTGCTGCAGTTGCTAAAAGTTCCACTACAGTTTTGAAGTCACCCGGTCGTTAAGCGAATCTGCCTTCCCCCCCCCGTGGACTTTGCTGTCGGAAGGTCGCAAAAGGGGGAGAGGAGGGGGGGTCACGCGACCGTCGCAAATGTGAGCCCACAAGCCTTCATTGCACGCCTCCGTCCCAGGGGGGGGGACGTAGTTGGGAGGACCCCGGATTTGAGTCCAATATCCAAAAAAATGCAAATCGTTTTTCTGCGGACCGCCGAAATTTTCTCGCGCACCCCCCCCCCAGGTGGACTAGATGACCTCCGGAGGGTCCCTTCCGACTCTCGTTATTATTATTATTTTTTTACTCTTAATCCTTTTCGACCCTGCGGGTTCAAGGAATCGGCATCCAGAAATGAGAGGAAGGGGGGGGGCTGTTCGCCAGCTCCGCCGTAAGTCGGAAACGGTCGCTAAGCGAGACCGAGCTCGGGAAAAGGGGCGCTGGCCTCACCCACCTGTGAACTGGGGACTCAGGGCCTGGGGGTTATGGATGATGTCCTTCCAAAGGTGCTCGAACTCCGGGATCCGGGCGACGCTTTGGAGGAGACGCACGAGATCTCGGCCGACCATGAAGCAATCCATGAACTTGGGAGGGGAGGGAGGGAGGGGGGGGGAGAAATCAAAATCAAAATTCCTCCGGGGGGGCGGGGTCAAAGATCAATGCCTGGCTTGCCCACGTGCCCACATCCCCCCCCCTCCACCAAGTGCCCTCCCCTCTGTTGGCAGGCCAAGCTTCCCTTTGAAGATCAAAAGCAGCGTGCCGAAGGCCGAAGGGTCCCGGGTGGGTCGTTAAACAAGACATCAATTCTGCAGTGCCAGTGGGGGGGGGAGTGGAGGGGGTGGAGAGGGTCAAGGCTCTGGGGTTGGGTTTCGGGCACGGCTGACTGGCTCAGCCGACATGTTGTCCTGGGGGGGGTTTCTGCTCTGTGTCATCGTCCCCCCCCCACAAGTGATTGGATGCCCCCCCCATTAAATGAGAGACAGTAGAGGAGAGAAATCTCCCAGAATTCCCTGGGCCTTCTTTCCTTCCCTCCATCCTTCTCTATTCCTTCCTTCCCTCCATCCTCTTCTATTCCTTCCTTCCTTTCCTCCATCCTTCTCTATTCCTTCCCTCCATCCTTCTCCCTTCCTTCCATCTATGCTTCTCTATTCTTTCCTTCCTTCCCTCCATCCTTCTCCCTTCCTTCCATCTATCCTTCTCTGTTCCTTCCTTCCCTCCATCCTCTTCTATTCCTTCCTTCCTTTCCTCCATCCTTCTCTATTCCTTCCCTCCATCCTTCTCCCTTCCTTCCATCTATGCTTCTCTATTCTTTCCTTCCTTCCCTCCATCCTTCTCCCTTCCTTCCATCTATCCTTCTCTGTTCCTTCCTTCCCTCCATCCCTTTCTATTCCTTCCTTCCCTCCATCCTTCTCCCTTCCTTCCATCGATCCTTCTCTATTCCTTCCTTCCCTCCATCCTCTTCTATTCTTTCCTTCCTTTCCTCCATCCTTCTCTATTCCTTCCCTCCATCCTTCTCCCTTCCTTCCATCTATCCTTCTCTGTTCCTTCCTTCCCTCCATCCTTCTCTATTCCTTCCCTCCATCCTTCTCCCTTCCTTCCATCTATGCTTCTCTATTCTTTCCGTCCTTCCCTCCATCCT